CATAGTGATTATAGCGTTCAAGAAGTTTTTGGTGAGTGTAGAAGCTACATATAAAATAGACACAGTATCTCTCCAGATACTTTTATCATAATGTAGTTAAAAAAAAGTAATTATGCAAATGGACAAAAAATAATTTGGTATTTTGGAAACATGAAGCGTGTCAAGCCTTTTTGTTTTTTTACACGTGTCACATAAGTACATTGAAAGCATTTTGTTTTATAAATGTATTCATCTTAACTTTAATAGACTGTAAACAGAAGTACAGTACAGTATTAGTTTTTTACCACAAAGTGGTCAAGTATTGGTCAGTGGTATGGTACTGCACTGGTACACTTAGCTACTTGGCATCCTGCCATAACTAGAAATAAAGTCACAGGATAAAATTAAACTTTCCGTGCTGAGTCTTTTCTCTTCATTTAACCTTACAAAATGCAGTGTTCTATTCATTAAGATATATTTAAATAAATTTCACGAAATTAAATACGTAATTCAGGTAAAACTGAAATTCAAATCAAATCTAACCTAACTTCATGAATCTCAATGAAGCTTGAATAATTAATGCATGCCTTCAAAAATATTAAATAAAATTAACATTAAATAAAGAATGAACATACATGCTGAATTCTGTTAGTGACAGAATGAATACTGAAAGAATTTTCTGACTCCTACAATACTGTACTGTACTGTAATGTAGGACCTGATCCACAACACTTTTCCTTGCTTAACAGCTTTATTTTCGCTAATAATTGTTGTGTACTGATAAAATATGAACAAACATCTCCATATTGAACCAAAGAGTATGTTTACGAGGCAACATCTTAATGCCCCCAAGGATCTGGAGTAAGACATCAACAGCAACAACTATGAAATATAGAACTTGAGGATTCCCCAAATTCTCCGAGTACAGTACTGTACTGTATCACGTCTAGTGCATTTTATCAAAGCACTAAAGTTCCAGAAATCAGTAATATTTCATGACATTTACATGACTGAACAAGAAAACTAAGAACATTTATCCATAAACGAAAACTGCTTTCAACTTATGTGAAGGCTAAAAAGTGGAGGAAAATGTTTTTCATAATATTTTATAATTTTTTTCTGGGCTCCAATGAAAACACTCTTTGTTTATAACTGGTGCATCTACAAAGTTTAATTGGACCCTTTCTTGGACATGATTTTTGTCTTTAGATGATAACTATTAATTTATGTTAGCCTAAGTAAAATTGCATGCCAATATTTGTTTTCTTACAATACTGGGATGGTGGGTATACATACTGTACTCTAGACCAGCAGTTGCCAGGAGTACCTACAACTGGTAAAATCATTCAGCAAGGTTTGGATACGCTGAATCATGCAATGAATCAACCCAGCCTAGCCTACCGCTATCATCATTTATTACTGTATCATCCATCTATAAAACAAAATTCCTATCTAAAAAAAAAAAGAAAGAATGAATCATCCCAGTTCTAAACAAAGACACAACAGCGTAAGAACTCTGACCTGGAGATAAATTAGTTATTAGATGGGAAAAATCGTAAAAATTATATTATTAAAAACTGTTTACTCGGGTACGACTGTACACTTATTGTGTGCCTGAACCACCAACCAGAGGACATGTTGCCATAGAAGATAAATGCTTTCTTACCTCATGAAAGAGCCAAAAGTGGACATGGATCTATAATGTATTGTTTCATGTACAGTAATATTATTCCTACTGTATATGACTTTTCCCTCCTGAACATTAATCTATGATCAGAAGATCCAATCCCCAACGTCACTGCGGCTTCTTTCTGTATGTCTGTTCAATGGTTCCTTTCAGGGAGATTTTTCTTCTTCTTTGATGATAATACAAGTTAATATCATTTCTGGTTAGTTAATTTTCTGAGATAAATTATATATTGCAGCGGTAGATGGACAACTGCTGTTCTTTACCTACCGTGCTAATCATGTAAGAACAGAATATATTCACACCCTAACCTAATACAGTTATCATCGTCTATCAAAAAAATATCATGTTTTCATCTTCTAAAAAAAAAAATTTACTCTCCATGAAAAGAGTCAATGTACTGTACAGTCTCTCAAAAAACTTTCTTTACTTGAGAGAGTCGATGAATTTCAGAATGAACACTGCAACTCCTGTTGTCTCGGCTGGGTTGTGTCATATTTTCTCCATTTTTTTTTTATAAAGATTGCTTTTTCAGTGACTGTACCATCCCTGTGGCACAGACCAAATGGTGTTAGATAGAGCTTGGATGACACAGACGGAGGCGCTCAGAAGGGAGACTCGCAAAAATTGGATTACAAGAAATACTTTCCTCGTCCACTTTTTAGCCTTTTCAAGAAGTAAGAAAGTATTTACCCTTTATGGCGAAAAGTCCTCAAGTAGCTGGTACAAGCACTCATCAGATCTAAACAATTACCTTTTCTTATATACTTTACGGACTTCTCGTAAGTAAATAAAGCATTTATCTTCTATAGAGAAGTGCCCAAGTTGCTACTTTAGGCATGTAACCGTTGTAATCTATTCCCCATACTATGTTTTCCGATGGCCTTTGAAGTGTTTTAAATGATTTGGACCTTCATATCTGCTGCCGGTAATCACATTATTTGGATATCTAAATACAGGGATGACTGAAACTAAAATTTACCTAAATGAGATACCAGTATAGTAACAAGATTTTAGCGGTCCGACTAATTACCCAAATGTAGCCGCAATGAAGTCAAATAATGGTCCTACATGAATAAATCGGACTGCCAATCACTTCTCGACTAGAATTTGGTGTCACAAAGTCAAAAAAAATTGAGTAGCTTCAAAACCTGGTATTACTCTACTGTACTTTACTTTCGGACAACACAGGAATCTTAGGAATTTTATCTTTACTTTGGGCAGTTTCAACAATTCTGGGACACTTTTCTTCTATGAACTTTCCCCCATTTAGGAGGTTAGGTTAGGTTAGGTTAGGTTAGGTTAGGTTAGGTCAGGTCATTTGAGAGGGAAAAGTCATACAAGAAAGGTCTTACTGTTTAAAATATTGATTGCAAATATAAAATTCCAAAAATTCCCATGTTTTCAAAAGTAAAAATAAAAAAAAATGTAAAAAGGGAGGAAATGGGATAGGTAGAGACCAGAAGTGATATAGACCTAGGCCAGGAACGTTGCATGAAATATAATATAAACCTGCCACAGCTTTGTCTGCTATAGGCCTACAGCAAAAAGAGAATGAAGTAGACCTAGGTTAAGCTACCCGTTAGGTACATTACAAGAGTTTACATGACCATAACACACACCTTTAGGTTTAAAATAGGCCTTAGACCATGGAGGGAATGATATAGGCCTAGGCCAGGAACGTTGCAGGGGCTAACATGAACCTCTGACAACAATATAAATAACTACAAACATTCACCTCTCTCCACGAGGATTAGCCAGGAACTGCTGGATGTCTTCATACACTAATTCCACAAAATCACGATCTTCACCACTTAATAAACGCCCGTCCACTAAAAAAGCCAGCTTGAATGGTTATTAATAAAGAAAAACACCAAAATTCCTCTCGGCCCTCAAGGACGTCCCTGTGTCTGAGCCAGTCTATGACGTCATTAGTGAACACAATACGTCTTTTAAATGTTTTTGTCAATAAACGTTTGTTCTTAATTTTCTAGTTCATCAATTTTTAATATATATTTTAAGTATATAAATTTATTTGGATATACTCTATTTAATAATTCTTATATTTATTTAGATGTATGTGTCAAAGATAAGCCTAGCTATAAAATAATGAATGTTCTTAATTTTCCAATTTATTTATACAGAATGATTATAAATTACACTTGTGTCACTATATCCAATAATTTTACCAAACACTGAGATATATATTTTTTCCCCTACTCGACTTAATAAAAACAGAACATTATTAACCATTGGAAACTTGTATGAAGATTTTACTGATGACATCTTGGCTTTGATGTATAATAATGGACACAACGAGGGTGTTAATATTCAATTGCAATTACATATAAAGGTCAAACAACCATACATAAAATGGTAATACTGAAATTTAATTCAACACTAATTGTAAAAAAAAAATGCTTTATCACAGTGAGCCTCTGATAAATAATACCTTGAGGTGTTAAGGAAAATCTGGCCGGGACGAGCATATTTGAAGTAAAGTATTGGGGTAAAGGTAAACTCTCAGAGGTAGTAAACTAACACTAGACATTCTGGGACTACGTGACATTTTCAGACAGATAAATTAGGCATTGACGAAATGGGAATCTATGTGTAAATCAAATGGGAATCTGGCAGTAGATTAATGGGCAATGAAACGACCCACTAGGTATATAATGCCAAAGTCACCGACATGATACATTTATATGAAAACTACATTACAATATATGGGCAATTAAAAATGACAACTACATTATTTGTATTACATGTACGATACGTATTTCAAATATACAAAAAAAAGTGTTATATGTGAGATTGTAAACCATTGGGCCTCTTACACACGAGGGTTTTTTTCTTGACACTTAGAAATTAATGGAACTCTCAGTGCTTTAAATTTGTTGATAATGTCTGTGGCAATGGAGGACTTCATCTTTTTGTACACCAGTCCCGAGTATATTTTGTCGCACCGCAAAATAATAAACGCTGGTGTGAATCAAATTATTTTACTAACTCTTTGAGCTTATCATTATACCTGTGAGGAAGACGAAAAAAAATAAACTTCATGATTTATAATGAATTACTTCGAGGCATATTATTGTTTACCATCACCACATGTCTGAGAACTCACACACCAACAGTGCTTTTAAGTTATGATTTTACTGTAGATCACAAACTTAATCAAGAAAGTTAGTTAGTTAAATATTGTGAAAACGTACTCATAGATTTCACACCTTAAAAATATAACAACATCACAATAAAGAGGATAATTTATATAAGTCAGTACATGTTTAACTAAATAATATATTAACTAAAAGACTGACTCCTACAACAGCCGTTCTTGCACTAACACCTACAATCTTAGGTAACCTTGTGTCGTCTGCCCTAATTACACGACTTATATATATTATCTACACAAATAAAAGGGTAAGCTAGTTCCCTTTGGACTTGAGGATTATTCTTCTATAACCAAAGACAAAGTTACTTATACATGGATAGTATTTATGACTAACTTTGATCTGTTAAGACGTTGTAAAGACTCAACCTCACTACCGGGAGAGACTGGTATTTTAATTTGAGTTAATAGATCGAGTGCATGTACTTAACCTAACCTAACCTAACCTAACCTCGACTAGTATTTGGTGTCACGAAGTCACAAAAAATTGGTAAACTTAATTTAATCTTGAGTTAATAGATCAAGTGCATGTACCTAACCTAACCTAACCTAACCTAACACAACACAACTCAGATTAAATTAAGTTTACCAATTTTTTGTGACATTATGACACCAAATAATAATCGAGAAGTGATTCACAGCCCGATTTACGCTTGTACGACCATCATTTGACTTCATTGCGGCTACATTTGGGTAATTACGGTACATGCATGCATCTATTAACTCAGATTAAATTAAGTTTACCAATTTTTTGTGACATTATGACACCAAATAATAATCGAGAAGTGATTCACAGCCCGATTTACGCTTGTACGACCATCATTTGACTTCATTGCGGCTACATTTGGGTAATTAGTCGGACCGTCTTGGGGGAACACAAATAAGTATAAAAATTACAAAATTGAAGTAGACCACATGAACCTAATAACCCTAACCTACCCAAGGCTACCCATGGTTTGTTAGGTGTGGCTGGTTCGTGTGTTCTGAGTCATCGATGATTTTTACACTAGTTATTGCTCCATCACCAGATTCGTGGTGTATGTATTAAAACAGACAAATTTAGCTCTACATATATTATACAAAAAAGTACTAAGGAAAATTATTTTTTTTAAGTTTCACACACAAGTTAACTACATTACAGGTATTACTATTTTTTCCTGTAGGGGAGAAGTGTTTTGTTACCTTGTGAATGATCCAATTATGATTATTTGAACAAGTGTAATTAATTATGATTACACACTAAAATCACCCCATGTCAGCAGTACAGTACTGGAGTGTAGTTTATTCTGGAACACTGATTAAGACCTCTGAATATATATATGATCAAAAGTTATAGATTCATTTGATACATTGTTTTCAGAAATGCACTGATTGCATATGTGACAAAGCTTCAGTATGCTGAAAGTGGGATGTGGAGTGGTGGCAGCATGTCTGAGGGGAGCCAGGTCCAGAGTCCAGTGGAGTCCCCAGAGCTATGCACCAGTCTTCTCATTGGTGAGTCATGGGAGAGTGTTGTGGCATGCTCACAGGTATAGTACTGTGCACCATCAGTCAGGATTATAAGAACAACAAACTTCTTTGAACTTGGAAAAACCTTTCAGTTTTATGTATTGCAGTACAGTATAGGTCAGGGGTTTGCTTCATAAAAACTGAATGACACCTTTTGTAAGTCTAAGACATCAGTTAAGCAGCATAAATTATTTTATCACCAGTGACTCATAAGTAATGATGACTGGCTCTGTAAGTTGCAAATTAAAAAAAAAAAAGGAATTTGTGCTAATTTTTTCCCTAAGCTTAATCAATCTCCAAATTAACCCTCTGGCACTCTTAGCCATGGTCAGAAATCTCACCCCCTCTTGGTCTTTTGATGCAAATAGCGTCATTTACAATGTCACCACCTTGCAGTCTTTCGGTAGTAACAAGAACGGTTTTTCCATTTTAGTAAACATCGGGTAGAGCAATCCAGACCCAATATTGCACTTCACCATTAGAGATGCATTACTGGTCATGCTCCCCCACCCAAAACTTCTTGGACAACACCCCCCCCTCCCTTTGATATTCCTGGATCTGCCCCTGGGTGCTCTCAGTGTGAGATACAGCTGAGCGGGAGTGGTGCACCATCATGGGAGTCTTTAGCATTGCCTCAAAAGACCATAAGAGGTTTAACCCATAATTAACATAAGCTCAAAAGGAGTTTCAACTACTGTAACCTTTTGCACATGTATTTTAGGAACATAGGAACACCCCATTTTAAATAACTCTTTACACATCTAGTCTTGCATTCATGTTTTCCTCTGGATGCACCTTCCTGTCTGCACCAAAATTCTTTATATATTGTTAATAAATTTGCAAATACTGTACAGTATTTCAGTATTTATTTACCACTTCTTTTTCTCCTGAGATACCAGAGCTCAAGTCACACAATGCTTTATATGTTCCTCCCTTTTTTACCCCACCCTGACACAAATCTAGAGCATTGTGTACAGTGAACAAACATAAGAAATATACAAGTAGAATGTCATGATGGTCAAAAGATGTTACAAATGGCTGGTGATGTTTGAGAAGAGTATATGGGTTTCCATGTTGTAAATGCATGAAACAATGTGATTATAGAGGAATTTAGACAAAAACAGTTAACATAATGTATAAGAGATGTGTACTCTACTTATAGCTAAACAGCATGCACTTTTAGGGTGAAGTCTTACATCTATCTGTTGCCACCGCCACAACCACCACCAGCAACTGGAGACCACTAGAAAATCAAGACGAAGAAGTTTCTTCCTCGTCTGTCATTAAAGCGAAAGATGTTCCAGTACTTTTACAGGCAGCAACCAATGGAGGATCCCTCTCTTCCGCATTCCAGGTAGAGTCAGTTATATAGCACTCTTATATAGCTTTCTTTTTGACAGATTCTATAATGCATGTCTGTTTTGTAAAAGAAGTAATATCTCATCTTTACTCATATCAGTATATTTCATTTCAGTATCATCAATCCATGCTTCAGGCAGTAATTTTTTCCTGGTCAGAATATTAACACTGTTAACACTTTTGTAGCACAATAGCCAAACATTTGCCTTGCAAACAAAGGGTCTTGAGTTTGATTCCTGGATGAAGTGGTGGACAAAGTTCCCTCCACGTACATTAGCTTAGATATTCAGCATTAAATGTGTACGGTATACAATATAGTACCAAGTACACTTGCCAGAGGTGAAAGAACTCTTGGATGGATTATTATTCTGCCAAGAGGGTGAAGTTAACTCACCCTCTTACCTTCTCAACCATTTTAAACATCCCATACACTTCATTATCTCTCACCATTTCCATTTTGTTAATCTTCAGATGCAGCCTTCACATAACTCATTTCTACAGCTTGAGTTTTAGGACATTCTGATTCATTTAAACTCTTTGTTTCACTGCCATACTGTACATCAAGGCAGAAAGGACTGTACAGTACTATCCATTTGTTTCCTGTTTACAGTACATCCAAGTTTACATTGCTTTCTTTAATGATACTTCCCAGCTCTCCATTTATCCTCCTTAAATGTTTTGATTTGTCCCTGATTTAATATTCCTTTATCTCATTATTTATTAAAATCTTACCCAATTATTGTATACAAATTAATTAACTTCCTTTACTATTTCAATCTTCACCACAATTGTACTTTTTAGTTGTACAGTTCTTAATTTTTAGAGGTTATTTTTAATTGTACTGTAATTCCCATATAAATTTACATCATACAGTATACAGGTACTGTACAGTAAATATACAGGTACAGGATATAAATAAATGAAGAAGTGTAATGCTTCCTAAAAGTATTAAAGGCTCAAAGGTCATGTTTGAATATTTATTTAAAAATTGTGTGAATGAAATGTGAAGTATTGTATTGATTAATAATTTGTAAATTTCTTCGGCAGGGTCTTCAAACACTCTCTGACTGGGTCTCAAACAAGAAGATAGATTTTAAGAAAGATGTAGAAAATGAGGAACAATTCACAAAGTATGTACCGTATGCTAGATTAAACACAGTAGAACCTCAGTATTTTGCACACCCTAAGAAGTTGAAAGTGGGTGAAATTCTGATTATTGTGAAATATTCCCGGGCTAAAATACAAAAAGTACAACTAACTACGATGTTCCACAGAAAACAGAAGAGTAGCGATGAATTATACAGAACAAACAAATTTTTATAAAGTGAACAGGTACAGGTATTAGGGCACCTGTACGTGTTGATCACCCAAGTCAATGATGTCTCAAGTTACTGGAACAATAGAAAATGTGCAGCTCTTTGGTGATAAGAGGGAGAGAGACATGTAACAATTGGCAAGCTTGGGACTTCCTCACCCACCAAGCCAATGCTTGTAATCAAGTTTTAACTGTTTTAATTTGTACTGCATCTCTTTCTTTACTGATATTTGTCAGGTTCATCTGTGACTTGTTGAAATCTTGTCAGAATTTCAGAAAATTTTAGAATTTCTCAAATATTTGCAAAAATTACTCATAATGGACTGCTTTCAAGTTTGTTTCAAATTGTAAGCTCATAAAGTGCAAAATACTAAGAGTTTACTTTAATTAAATAATTTTCACAAGTACTGTAGTGTTTTCTGAATGTTTGTTTGTTTTCTACATGTTTTCTTATCTGTAGGACCAGGTGACTCATACACATCATCCTTCATGCACCAGAATCTACAAATTGCCAATGCAAGTTTCTCCACCAAGGCATTTTAGTATGTTCTCCCTTACACCACTTTCCACCTCCCATCTGTCTTTTATCATGTTGTAGAGTTGTCTTGTTCTGGCACTGGTAACCCTCAGTTGTGTGGGTTTAGTGCTTGTATCCTCTGTTATGAGTGCAGATTCAGTTCTTATTATGATTCCTTGTGTACAATTCAAAGTGACATTTCTCTCACCACTCGGAATCAGATTTGATTTTGTACGAGCATTTCTGTGTCTATAAAGAGCTGTCATTCTGGGAGATTTTGCTCTTATAGTATCCAGTCAGTCATGTGGCAGGACAGTATATTGTAAATCATATATCCTCTCTGGAGATGGGCAAATGTTCAGTGCCACAAACTTTAATTCCTTGAGAAAAAAAAAGAAGTACAGTACAGGGTAATATTGTTCAATATTAACCCCTTCATTATGGGGAAACTTTTTAATATTTTATTTGACTAACGCCAGACGATTTTATTCAGCACAGAGGGGATCCCGTACACAAGTGGATAAAGAACAATTTCTTCTTTTCAGATTGATAGACTTGATCGACCGGGGAACAATAAGAAGCAGCCCAGTGTCTTTATTAATGGCTCTCAAGAGCTTAATGAAACTCGGGGTGGAGAGCAACAGTCATGTGGTTCAGGTTTGTTGACTTAATTTAGTCAGTCCACTGTTATAAATTCTATCTATCCATTTTGTATCCAAGTATCCATCTCTCGGTACATGTATTAACTTAATCTCATCCATTCTATTATATCCTCATACTGTGCAAATTAAACATCTGTTCATACTCGCTCATCTGTCAGGCATATGCTCGCTCACTACCACTTCAACCAGCTAATTATACTTTAATCTTATTGTGCCTCTTTCTGCTATAACTAACTCACTGCCTTGTAAATTGTCACTCTCTAGTTTAATCCAGTGAAATGATTTTGAGCTTGGTTGTCATAAAAAAAGAAGTTGGATTCCGCAAAATTTTGGGTGCCTTGATATATGCTGTGAGAATCCAAGGCACTGTGCTCTGGTAAATGATGTGCTTCATGTTTATTTTCCCAAGATAGATTTCTTGGGAAGAGGATGTACCGGTTGTAGCAATAAAGGTATTGATCCTTTTTCATCAGTTTTTATACTATTACATTTGCTTTTATTTAAGAGGTGTAATACAAAAGGACATGGAGTGATTCAGCTAATAAGTGTCAGTAAGGGAGCTCATTAAACATGAACAAGTTGTTACCAAATACTAGTTGAGGTGTCATATCCAAGATAGCAGTAGACTATGGCACTCAATACCTTCCTTCCAGACTGTCGTGGTACTTTTGCTGTGTGAGGATCTCTTGCTAATTACTAATTGACTTAAATAAGATGGACTTCTAAAATGTAAAATGATTTGCCAAACTTGCCATAGTCAACCGAACTGGACGAAACACTCCGAACGTAAGGACAACTTTGCATGGAAATGTCAGACCAAAGACTGTCATAAACACAAATTCACAGCTTCCATAAGGAGTGGATCTCTTTTTATTCCTTATTCAGACATGGGGCCATGTAATACATCTGTGGAGTGACCACATCGGTGAAATGAGCCGTCTTGTAAACATTTCCGAGAAAACAATGATTGAATATTAAATTTTATCAAGACATGTGCATGAGGCATTTTTGATTAAACAAATCTAATCCAACTTAACATTCCTGGGATTTTCATGAAAATAGAGAAATCTTGTTTTTCTCATAAACTGAAGCATCACTGGGGATGAGCTACACAAAGATCAAACCAGCAACTTGCTACACGGAAAGAGTCCAAGTAAATTCTGCCTATTTTACAAGCAGTGGTGTGGCTGGGTTCCAACATTCAGTGACAAGTGGAGGAGCATTCTTTTGTATTTTGGGTCATACTACTGTACTTTAATAACCCTGTTGTACATTCTTTGTGTTGTGGTGGTTAAACTTCAGGTTAGATAAGATGACCAGCTTCTATAGTCTGATCTGACGTAGGAAGAGGGAGGGACACCAGGCTACTTGGTCATATCTTAATCCTTCATTTATAGTCTACAGAATCTCATGAGTGATCTGGTGAAATCTAAAACCAGCCAAGTAATGGAAGGAGGTCATGTGTCACAATTCTGTATGTCAGAGACAAACAATCACTTGCACATGCCCTCTGCTAAAATTCCCCAGTAGTAATGGGAGTATTGTATTTATTTGCTTGCCTAAAATTTTGATAACATCTATAAGTATAGCATCAAACATGTACCTGTATATATAATTGAACATTTCCAACATCTTTTACCAGAAGTACATTAAAGTACATATTAATGATTTGTGCTTCTATTTATAATAAATGTATTGTGCTTCAGCTTTTGTCTGCTACACTTAGTTACTTCACTATGAGGACGTCACTTTTAATATTTTATTTGGCTAATGCCAGATGATTTTATTCAGCTCAGAGGGGATCCTGTACACTAGGGATTAATGGGGTTCAATTAATAATTTGAGCATTGATGAAATTACTTCCAATTAATCATGATGAGGTAATAATTTCAAGATCACTGTTGTGTTATATATTTGTTCATAAATGACTGTTTTTACACATCACTTAACACTGCTTTCCTGGACTGGCTTTGCTTGTCTGATTGATTTTTTAGGCGAGAAGTTAATTGCTCTTTTTAATTTTACTCACAAACAGAACTGTGTCAGTCAGATCTATTTGCACTCAAAATAGGAGAAGCATATCATAGATTACCATAAACAGTGCAGTGTGGTTGCCTGATCTAATTTTACAATTGTCTCAGCAATGCATCTTACTCAAGTTGTTACATTACTTTTTAATTCAACACATTATCATAAATAAAATTTCTTTTGAAAAGTTTCAAAGTCAGTTGGGCTTTTATACCAAGTCACTGATAAAACAAATATACAGTATTACTCATGCAGTCATGCCAAATATGAGTCCAATACATTACTCTCAGAGGTCCTTCATGCCAGTTTTGCCCATTAACTTTGCTAACTGCACATATCCAAGTTAGATACAGTACGAAGTTTTGATGCTAATAAGCCTTTCATTGTGTTTATGATTAGGTGAGTAGGGAAGATATATTTATACACCTTTAGCTATGAAGGTGATTTAAAAAAGTAATCATGAAACCCAGGCTCAGGATCTTGGGGAATACCATATATAAATTGAGCATGAAAACTCTAATATAATGAATGAATTTATTGTATGTCCTTCCCCCTTCCTTAGTAAGATTAGACCATAGAAGTTGGTAGAGCATTGGAATATTTATTACTGTATATACGGTATTACTATTAAGTTTGGTTCATTATTCTTCTTTTTTTTTTAATAAAACTGAATTTAGTAGAAGTATGAGGTGAAGGATAACAAGAATTATACCATATCTTCTCCTCCACAGTCAATTGAGAACCAGCTGCTGTGGAACATTCGGAAAGTTTCCTTCTCAATGCTGGTGTCCATAATGGTTTTTCAAGTACAGCATCAAAATACAGAGTTACAAAAAAAGGTAAATGAAGATGGTTAATTACCTTACTGAATGTTTGATTTTGCTAATGTAGTTATTTCTTAAATATCAAGTGATATCCCTTCTTTGAGGGTAAAAAGAAATAATTCATGTATCCACTGTAAATGTATAAAGGGTTTTGGCAGGGTCTTCTTTTTCTATATCTAGTGTTATGACCTGACACCCTACAGCTTGTGTATTACACTCACCACGCCCTGAACAAAGGATACTTTTACTATTTACATTACTTTATAAGTACTGTATTGTGGGAAAATTATTGAAGTATTTATTAATTTTAGTGATGTTTACGGTGTTGATTTTGTTACTGTAAAACTTTTAAAATGTCTTTATTTTTATTGTAGGTGCTAAAAGAGTCACTAGAAGCTATACAGAGGAGATGGGTTGAAATCAGAGCAGCACCAGAAATTGAGGCATTTTATAACCATCAAGACTTATATACATCTGAGTTTCTTGGACACGTGGATGATCGAACAATTGAGCTGGCCAGTGAAATGAACTACGTGGAGCTAAGCAAGATATTCTGTGTTCTGGGGACAATCAAGCGGCGTGCCACTCCAGTCATAAGAGCTCTGGCATTCCACATGGCAAAACAGGTTGAAAAATTAACTCCAAAACAACTTTGTAACGTTTTGTTTGCAATGAACACCTTAAATTTTCCCGATCCGGTTTTATTAGAAAAGGTGGCACAGGATCTTGTTCCTCAGGTTACTGACATTGATAAGCCAAAATTAGTGGGTTCTCTTCTCTTCTGTATGGGTCAGATGAGATGGAGACACACTAGTCTATTGGAAGTTTTGTCAGAGTGGATTGAGAAGAACATGCAGGTATGCCCCATGATCACCTTGACTGCCATAATAAATACTCTATCTACTGTATCATATATGCCATCTAACTCTGACTCTTTGTTTAATGTTCTTGTTCCCAAACTTATTCCCTCGGCATTTGTTAAGAAGACAGCGTGGTTAGATGTTGTATGGTCATTGTGTGTGTTAGATAGAGCAACAGAGGAACACATTTCTTCTGTTTTGGAGCCATCATTCGTGTCAAATATTCCGAGTGCAGATCAACACTTGCGGATGGGCATCAAACTAAAGCTTCTCAACATTAATGCTGTGGCAAAGTTAAAGATGGCCTCTTATAATGGCTCCTACCTTGACCTGGCAAATTTCAAAGATGTAATTATTACCAAGGGAAGAGATGACCTTAAGCTGTCTAAGCACATTCAAATTATGCTTCACAACTTCCTTCCTCCACCGAGATATATCCGAGAAAACATTCAAACTACCATGGGAATCTGCGTGAATGCTGAGCTGTTAACCGATAAAAAGGGAAAGCCTTTACCAATCCAAGATTATAGTAAGAGTTTTGGGGAATATGACAATTGTAAGCCACTACCAGAAGGGGCTGTGAAATTAGCTTTGTTTGTATGGGGTTATAGAGACTACACTATTGGCTCCCAAGAACTTATTGGAATTAATAAATTAGCTATGCAATTATTAGAGAAACAAGACTATAAGGTCGTCAATATTCCCTTCTATGAATACAACGTGAAGGCGAAGACGCTGAAAAATGTACAGTATCTTGAAACTAAAATCAAAGAGGCTGTTGAATCATGAAACTTGAATTAGTGAAGCCATTTATTTTTTCGTGTATATAAAAGTTGATATGTTGTAATTATTCTGGGAATAAAATACAATGAACTTTTTAATAAAATTGTGAAATAATGGTTGCGTTCTTTGTTGAATTTTGTCACTGAAGTTTTGTTTATATTTTTCATTTCAGTTTAATTATACATAACTAAGAACTAATACAAAATTACTCGACTGAGTAAAACCGTCTGTTGTTAGCCAAATAAAGTATTAAACATGGCGTCCAAGTAGTGAGGTGGTTAAGATATTCTATTACATCCTAATACAGTACATTAAGATTTTATGGATTGATGAAATATCTTATGGTAAATATTTTGAGAGGGCATGGGCATGATGGTGAAGCAAGAGAGTAAAACAATACAGGCACTGAATACTGTACAGCCTTTACCTACTATATTCCATATGCTGTAAGCAAAACAGGAGCTGATCCCTTGAATGTTGACATATGACAGTTAGTGGGTTACCTGACTGCTTTGACAGGATGCTTGTATACACCAAAGGTTGTTCCATTATTGACAAGCATGCCAGACAGAATGTTTACTGAACTGTTGAGTAAGTCGAAGCTAGTGTACAAGATGAGAAGCCAGTTTTTCACTCCATCTGTATTCACAGGCATAGCAAAGACTTACTGTACAGTACCTGGTATTGTAGAATTGTTAGACATGGTAGGAGGAACTTTCTGAAGCAATAACAAGTTATTAGAGAGGATAGGTGATGTGAGGACTGGAAGAAGACAGGGCTGTGTTTGGGGACAATGGTTTATAATAGTTTATGGGTGGAATTGTGGCAAATAATCGAGGTAGAAGAGTGAGATTGGTAAATGATGGAAGAATTTTCAAAGTGGAGATATTTCCATTACTGTACAAATGACATTGAATTATTGGAGCAGACTGGAAGAGAAAAATAACTGGGTGAATGTGGAAAAGAAAGAAGCTGGTAACTAAATGCTAACTAGAATAAGGTAGAGCTGGTCAACAGTGTGAGGTATATACAGATGGTGAGAAAATGGAAAATGAACATTTCAAATATTGTAGGAACATTCAAAGTTAGGATATAAGAACAGACACTGAGACACAAGAAAGAATAATGACACGTAAACAAGCTGCTGGAGCTACGAAGATACTGTAATCATATACAGTACAGTAAGACGATGATCTTATCTAAATTGTGGCAAAATTTATTACTGGGCCTAAGACATTAAAACCTTGTTTGGTTTATGGTAACTAAATATGGGTAAATAATAGAAGAGTTCAAGCTGTAGAAACAATTAAGGATGACTTTTGGAGATAATGTGGATAGAGAGATATATCAGAGGTAGGTCTGCACTGTATTTTGAACTATGATTAATAATTTAACCCTCTCGTGGTCTTTTGATGCAAATTGCATCTCTTAGCACTCCTGTGCTAGCACAACCCCTCCTGCTCAGCCATATCTTAGACAAAGAGCACTCCTCCCATAAGCAGAAACACGGGAACAGTGGACCAGTCACATCAAACACCAGTTCGCAGGCTGGCAGATGCATCTCTAAGGGGGCAATTTGGGACTGGATCTCTGTACACATTGTTCATTAAAATGGAAAAACTGTTCCTCTTACCAATACAACCTGTGTCAAAAGATTGCAACAGGGTGAGATTTCTGACCATGGCCAGGAGTACCAGAGGGTTAATATAGACTTTCTTGCATGTAAAATGGTATCTTCAGGTTCAACATTTTGCAGGAAGACGGGCAACATGCATCTCTTGACTAGCAAAACTGAGAACATTGTGTCAAAAGAGAATATGGAGAATCCAAGTTAACCCTATATAGTACTGTGAATAATTTTAATTAATTTTCATAAGTGATTATTCCTTCACAACATTCTGGGTAACATGAGGACTAAATCTGATAAAATTCACGTCTTAGGCATAAAATTGGATAATCCCAAATAATGATACGGTAGCAGGAAATGCACAAGCCAGAGGATGTCTGATACACAAGTGTGGGCGAAGGATGTCTTAAAGGAGGAAGCACTGAGATGGTTCAAATAATACAGACGACGTGGGTGAATTTGAGTGTACAGTACTGCACATGATTAGGTAAATGGAAGAAGATTGATAGACTAAAAAGTGAGGTGAGTGAAGGTGTGGCGTAGTAGTGTTCTGAGATGTTGAAGGATAAAATGGCTAAATGAGTACCAATGTGGACATCCCTCTCAAAATGTGTAGTGGGAGGTTGATGAGCAGCCATTTGGGCACCGACGTTCTGGCATCTTAATAAGCAAATAATTGTTTATTATGAGAAACATGGCAGACACAAAGCACAGCAGGTGTGAGTAACGTGAAAACAGAGGTACTGTACTATAACTTTTGTAGACAACAGATTAAGTACTGTACACAGATAGAACTTAACTAAAGCTTTTGGTCCCTCATTAAGATCTTCAATATATTTCTTATAATTAATTTTTCAAGACTGAGATTTATTCACAAAATGTAGTAGATATTTCCACTGGAGTGGTTTAAGGGTCATTGTTGTCAAGAGGAGTTTAAACACCCCTGCCCCCCCCCCTCCCTCCCCCCCTATTCCGTGGGTCTGCCGAGGAGAATGAGTCACCTGGCGAGAGTGAAGGCAACAACAACTGGTTCTGGATTCTTAAATATATACAGTACAGAACATGAAATTTTCTCAATACTGTCACTGGAGATGTACGAAGGTCTCTATCTGACTCACTCAAGGTATAGCCTGAGGATATTGTCTAAAATGATACAGTATACTGTAATTTAACTGAGACTACCACAATGAGCAGCTGTCAGGTGACTTTGTTGTAAACGTCGCCGTTGAGGAACAAATTGGCCCCAACCCAACCAAACCAATCATTAGGTTTCTGATACATTTTGGTTGGATTCTAACTAACGTGGGGAAGTTAGATTAGGGTCTATTAGTTAGGAATAGACCCTAAATCTATCCCAAGAAACATAATATCAACGTCAATTTAACACCGAAATAAAGTTGTGAGACAGTTAGGTAGTGGTTAGGACTGGGTTCCATTTGACCAGTCCAAAAGTGAGTGTTGAGGAGCGCCTTCCCCCTGAGGCGGCTGGTGCCCACGTTATACCGCCGTGATTACTGCTCCACTCGTTGCTTATCACTGCCATGCTCCCTCACGATTTAATGGTTATTGGTTCGTCGGTAGAACATATTCGTGTCCCCAATGCTCATTAAAGTACATAGAGCTGATTACACCTATCTGGACGGCCCCTATAAATGGCTATTGTTGTGGTGCGCTAATCTTTTTTTTTTCATTTAAAGGTGACATGACAAAGTGGTCCACGAGCATCGATTCTGACCTCACAGGTACTTTGAGTGGTGCCAGGGGATTCTCCATCTTATTATTTTCATACATCAAGGCCACTCTCGTTCACTGCCTCCTCCGGCCTGGTATACTGGGCAGTATCAGTTGATGGGACGAGGTCTTATGTCCAGAATAAATTCTTTTTATTTTTGTTAAAAATGACTCGTTATTTGCATAATAAAGGGCTAACGGAGACGGCGGTACGTGACTTGTACATTTTATTATCAGCGAGGATGTACGCTGTCTGGCAAGGTAAACTTTAATTATAAAAGAAATGTTCCCCCGCCACACACACACTGGGGACGTCATCACCTAAACAAAAATAAATCCAAAGTTTCACCAGAATACCTTCATCACTACAACTCTGAAAAAAGGCTTAATGCAACGCAGGATGACATAGAGAGTCAATATGTACAGTCCTTATTAGACATGCTGGCGAGGGATCCCTGAGCTACACCTACACTAGGGAGTATTTGACTATACCTACAAGTAAGTGTTGTGAGATAGAGAGAGAAGGGGAGATAACAGCATATCATGTACTCGGGCTCATCTTCCTGTGCTGTACTCTGATTCCTCATTACCTGTTTATTACTCAGCATAAGCAATTATTTCAAGTCTTAGAGCTTCGTACGGTGACTATTCCTTGTAAGTGAAGATGTAAGACATTAAGACTGTACCTAACTGGTTGGCTTCAGCTGCAACACAAAATTAACGTAAATAAGATTATTTACGGTACATTAATTTTGTCACTTCACAGGAGCTAAATGAGGTGGAGTCTAGTTGTGGTTCCCAAGTTATATTTGAACAGTTTTATGCTTTACTTCCAGTTAACCGATTAAGTGTAGTCTTACAGTTTCAGTTACGTACAATGTTCGTACGAGTCTGAAAACGTGAACCTCAGAGTGAATCCTTGTCGTTGCACAAAAGGATTTTTAAGTGTCGTACATAAGTCAACACATTAACGTACTTCAGGAGTCAGACAGACCTAAGCAACTGTGTCGTGGGTCAACAGAGTAACACTGAGGCAGACAGATGAGAGCAAGCACTGAGTGTGGGTCATAACTGGACGAGGCCCAGGGAGGAGACTCCGCTGGTTAGCTGTACCTGCTTAGCTGCCAACAGTGGTCTTGTAGGAGACAGGAGGATAAACACGAGACAGTAAAATGCAAGAGATGAGCTGAGAAGGGTCGAATGAGGACGGAGGTGCGGGTAAGAGAGCTCTGGAGACAGCCGTACAGCTCTCCTCCACAAATTATAATTAACAGCCAATACTTGCGAGACGACGGAGAGGTACACCTGTGGACCCCAGGAAGTACACAGTGTTTAGGACAGGTGGTGGGATATGGGATGGAAGTTCTGGGAGGGGAGAGGAATGATGGAGGACTGAGAGAAAATGAGAGGGAAGGAGAAGACGAGAGGTGTGGGAGGGAGAAGGGACGGCCACCAGCGTCAATGTGTTTGGTCTCAATGCCTCCAGGGCGTCTTTCTCCAGCAGCAGGGAGCGTGACGAGGTGTCGCAGGCCCGGGCGTGGGTGGTCCTGGTCCACGACACACCTCCCCGCCCCGCCTCACCCCAACACATACAGCATCCTGCCACAATACACCCGCTATACCACGCCCTCACCACACCCGCTGTACCACGCCCTCGCCACACCCACCAGACTCCCCCACCACCCATGCCTAAACATCCAGACCAACACCAAAACAAATGCCTCTCCCTCACCCCACCACCAGAGGCCAGTAACCATA